AAGTGCTGGGATTACAGGCGTCCGCCACCGCGACCGGCAGGAACTTTTTTAAAGACTGGTGGCTGATGTGTGTAATTCCAGCACTTTGGGAGGCTGAGGCAGGCAAAGCACTTGAGGTCAGGAGTTCAAGACCAGCCTGGCCAACATGGTGAAACCCTGCCTCTCCTAAAAATACAAAAATTAGCCAGGCATGGTGGCAGGTGCCTGTAATCCCAGCTACTTGAGAGGCTGAGGCTGGAGAATCGCTTGAACCTGGGAGGTGGAGGTAGCAGTGAGCTGAGATCACGCCACTGCCTCAGCGACAGAGTGAGACTCTGTCCCTGTCCCCAAAAAAGAAAAGAGAATCCAACCTCTACGTCTGAACTTGAGCTCAGACATATAAATTATCTTCTTGTAATATGTAGCCACAGGGCTGGGCGCAGTGGCTCGAACCTGTAATCCCAGCACTTTGGGAAGGTGAGGTGGGCAGATCACGAGGTCAGGAGTTCGAGACCAGCCTGGCCAATATGGTGAAACCTTGTCTCTACTAAAAGTACAAAAAGTTAACCAGGTGTGGTGGCAGGGCCTGTACTCCCAGCTACTCAGGAGGCTGAGGCAGGAGAATTGCTGGAACCTGGGAGGCAGGGGTTGCAGCGAGCCGAGATCACACCACTGCACTCCAGCCTGGGTGACAGAGCAAGACTCTGTCTCAAAAAACAAACAGCAGCAGCAACAAAAAACACGTAGCCACAGGCCTGACTTCACTTTCTTTTTTTTTTAAGACAGGGTCTCACTGTGCCTAAAAGTGAGTAGTGGAGTGTCACAGTCCCAGCTCACTGCAGTTTGATCTCCCAGGCTCAAGTGATCTTCCCACCTCCACTTTTCAAGTAGCTGGGACCCCAGGTGTGTGCCATCACACCTGGCCTAATTTTTAAATGCTTTTTGTAGAGATGAGGTTTTGCTATGTTGCCCAGGCTGGTCTCGAACTCTTGGGCTAAAGTGATCCTCCCATCTCAGCCTCCCAAAGGGTTGGAATTATAGAAGTGAACTACTGCATCCAGCCCTCACTTGCTTTAAATTAAAGTCTTTAACCAAACAAGGAAAAGTGAACCCAGGTTGGTGGGCTGAGCCCATCCCTAGCTCCAGAGATGAGCACTTGGCCAATTAGAGCTCAGCGTCTGCTGGCCACGGGAATTGGTAACAGATGGGACGTGACCCAAGCCAGGCACATGGGCCTCTTCCCAGGAGCTCTAGGTGTGCAGGGAAGGGGCTGTATTTGTTTGCTGGAACAGCCATAGCAAAAGACCATAGACTGTGGCTTAGGCAGCACAGTTATTTTCTCACAGTGCTGGAGGCTGGAAGTCCCAGCTCCCCATGCCGGTTGACAGGGTTGGTTTCCATCAGGGCTTGTCTCCTTGGTCTGTGGATGGCGGCCCTCTTGCTGCCTCTGCACGTGATCATCCCTCTGTGCATGAGCGCTCCTGGGGTCGGTTCTTTTTTTTTCTTTTTTTTTTTTTTGAGACGGAACCTCACTCTCTTGCCCAGGCCGGAGTGCAGTGGTGTGTTCTTGGCTCACTGCAACCTCCACCTCCTGTGTTCAAGCAGTTCTCCTGTCTCAGCCTCCCAAGTAGCTGTGACTACAGGTGCATGCTACCACCCTGGCTAATTTTTTTTTTTTTTTGTATTTTTAGTAGAGATGGGGTTTCACTGTGTTAACCAGGATGGTCTTGATCTCCTGGCCTCGTGATCCACACGCCTTGGCCTCCCAAAGTTCTGGGATTACAGGTGTGAGCCACTGTGCTTGGCCCGGTCTGTTCTTCTCATAAGGACAAAAAGCAGATTGGATTAGGACCCACCCTAACACCCCCATTTTTACTCAGCCCCCTCTTTAAAGACCTCACCTCTAAATGCAGTCACCTTTTGAGGTCTTGGGGGTTGGGACTTCAACATATACATTTTGAGGGAACACAATTTAGTCCATCATAGAGGCCTCTTTCCACTGAAGTTAATGTTCAGGATGAAAGCAGGCCCTGAAATGTTTCCATGACAACAGGATGCCAAGAGGTGGGCTGGCACAGGGTGCTCCCTGGATGATGACCCCTTGCAGGAAGGAGTCTGCCTTCCTGGGCCTGGGACATAACTCCACCACCTTCCTAGGGCCACGAGGAAGGGCGCCTCTCATCAGAGTGGCAAAAACAAGAACATGCACTTCTGGCATGGATGCGGAGAAACGGGCAGCGTCTTTTCCTTTCGACAGCCCTAACAGTAATAGAACGGTACACCCGTCTTTTGATAGGGCAGTTGCAGTTCTAAGAATCTATTCCCCTAAACCTGCTAGTGTGTGCTTACAAACACACGCACCTGAGGGGTTGCTCAGCAGTGTTTTTGTGCTGGAGAAGGATTGGAAGCAGCTTTTGGGGCCATCAGCAGGGCCATTGTTTTTCATCTGGAGAATCCATTACTTGGGGTCAAATCACAGCTTCAAGCTGGGCATGGTGGCTCACACCTGTAATCTCAGCACTTTGAGAGGCCAAGGCAGGGATCATGAGGTTAGGAGTTTGAGACCAGCCTGGCTAACATAGTGAAACCCGATCTCTACTAAGAAGAATACAAGAACACATGGACACAGGGAGGGGAGCACTACACACTGGGGTCTATTGGAGGGAATAGGGGAGGGACAGCAGGGGCGGGGAGCTGGAGAGGGATAGCATGGGGAGAAATGCCAGATGTGGGTGAAGGGGATGAAGGCAGCAAATCACACTGCCACGTGTGTACCTATGCAACTATCTTGCATGTTCTGCACATATATCCCAAAACCTAAAATGCAATTTAAAAAAAAAGACAACAAAAAAAATTTTTTTAACAATTCGAATTAAAAAAAAAATACAAAAATTAGCCAGGCGTGGTGGTGGGAACCTGTAATCCCAGCTACTCGGGAGGCTGAGGCAGGAGACTTGTTTGAACCAGGGTGATGGAGGTTGCAGTGAACCAAGATCGCGCCATTGCACTCCAGCCCAGGTGACAGAGCAAGACTGAATCTCAAAAAAACAAAAAGAAAAATCCCAGCTTTGCTCCTTCCCAGCTTTGCAGCCTTGGGAATGTGTCTGGGCCTTGTGGAGAAATGGGATAATGAGAGCTCCCACCTGGAACATCCCTGTAACCAGCTGACTAGTGACTTCATTCCCGACCCTTGGTGTGCAGCAAGAGTTTCATGTGTGTGCACAGTGTGCGTTTACTTTTTAATTTTGATTACATTTTTTTTGAGATGGAGGCTGTGTGCAGTGGTGTGATCTTGGCTCACTGAGACCTCTGCCTCCTGGGTTCTGCCTCAGCCTCCTAGGTAGCTGGGGCTACAGGTGTGCAGCACCATGCCCAGCTAATATTTGTATTTTTAGTAGAGATGGGATTTCACCATGTTGGCCAGGATAGTCTCGATCTCTTGGCCTCATAATCCGCCTGCCTTGGCCTCCTAAAGTGCTGGGATTACAGGCATGAGCCACTGTGCTCAGCCTACAATTTTTCTTAAGGTGCATATTCTGCATATGTATACAATGTGCTTTTATTTTGGTTGTTGTTGCTTTTTTTTGAGATGGAGTTTTGCTCTCGTCGCCCAGGCTGGAGTGCAGTAGCACAGTCTTGGCTCACTGCAGCCTCCACCCTGCCTCCTGGGTTCAAGTGATTCTCCTGCCTTTGCCTCCCAAGTAGCTGGAATTACAGGTGTCTGTCACCACCATGCCCAGCTAATTTTTGTATTTTTAGTAGAGACAGTGTTTCTCCATGTTGACCAGGCTGGTCTTGAACTCCTGACCTTGTGATGGGAATCCCAACGTGCTGGGATTATAGACATGAACAACTGCATATAGCCGCCCACTGACGTCTTGACCTGCTCATCACCTAGTATCACCCAGAAGACAGGAAGACCCAGGCCACAGAGAGAATTCTGCAGATATGATAAGCTGCACAGCCCTGAGCCACTGACCCATCTCTCTGGGTCTTGGCTTGGGTCTCCTCCAGAACTGGACACTTGGAGGGTCCAAGGGCAGGGAGCTTAGCTGGGAGCTGATCCTGGGAAGCTCTGAGAGCAGAAGGGAGGGCGCAGCCGGTACTGCTGGGTGTGTAGATGAGCAGGTTATTACTTGGGTAACTGGGCTCTATCCTGCTGGGGCCTCTGGGTGGGGGTGCAGAGTCCACCTCAGGGTTGCTCCTCTCCAGGCCCCAGGAAGCTGGAGGATTTAACAACGCCCCCATCCAGCCAGCATAGGCCAGAGAACCACTGCAGGAAAACAGAAACCTCTCCCCTGGATATTATCCCACCAGCCCAGAGCTGCCAGGTCTCCAGGCCTCCACCCTCATCTGGATGGAAGAAGCCATCTGCCTGGAGCGGCCCTGTCTGCTTGGAAGGAAACCTTAAACATGGCTCTGGGGGGATTCCAGACTGTTCCCATCTGCGTGAGGAGGACCCTGAGTGCACAACATAAGGAGGTCTTGCTGTGATTCAGGCCAGAGAAGGGGCTCGCCTGAGAGTGGGGTCTCCTGACTTCGGGCCCGGGCACCTGCCGGCCTCACCTCGTCCCTGGCCCCACCTGAGAGCAGGCCAAGGGAAGACGAAATTAGAATTTTGGGAAGATCGCTCCAGCTGCTGGATAGAGAAGGGACAGTTGGGGGAAAAGAGGGGAGGCAAAGGCAGAGTCAGGGAGGCCCAGGAGGTGGTTAGTGCCATTGTCTGTCCATGCAGTGAGGCCCAGAGAGGTAGTGGGAGTGAGGGAGGCTGGGTGCACAACTCTGGGGTGAAGGGACCTCCATTTTGTTCAGTGATGTGCCCTGCCCTTCTCCATCTCATACAAGCTGGCAGATCACCTGAGGTCAAGAGACCAGCCTGGCTAACATGGCAAAACCCTGTCTACTAAAAATACCAAAAATTAGCCAGGCATGGTGGTAAGCACCTGTACTCCCAGCTACTTGGGAGTCTGAGGCAGGAGAATCGCTTGAACCTGGGAGGCAGAAGCAGTGAGCCGAGATCATGAGATCTTTGGAGTGTTTAATATGTGTAGGACTCAGAGACAAGTATTTTATAGGTGATAGAAGGGAGGCTCAGAGAGGGGGTGTGACCTGCCAGAGTCACATGGTCAGTGGCAGGAGCTGCATCTGAGCCACACTGACAATAGGGTGACAAAGTGAGACTCCATCTAAAAAAACAAAAACCCCATAGCGTCACTGTCGCATGTCAGGACAATCCATTGTTTTATTTTATTTTCTCCTTGAGCCTCGATACCGGGGCCCATGACATAGGTCCCTGGATGTATATGTGTCCTTGTGAAGCAAACATTTTATGATGAGTGTTCTGATTTGCAGAAAAGTTCTGTTTCTCACCTGCTTTACCTGGCAGTCTGTTTCCCAGATCTCTGCCTGTAGCTGTGTGTGGCCAAGCGTCTCTCCCTGTGCTCAAAAGCCACTTGTTGCCGTCGTCCTTCTTTCTCGGCAAGCTGTTGCTCATGTCCTTTAGGGTGGAACATTTTTCAGTCATGAGGAAAGTTGGGCCCTGAGTTGGTCTCCTTTGAAGCCAGGGAGACATGTGGGACTGGAGGGAGGGCACCCAGCTCTCCAGTGACTCATCCAGGTCCTGCTGAGCCATGCAGGCAGGTCCCACATGGCAGGGACATGCTTGGGCAGCCCCCTGAAGGCACTGCTGGCCCAGCCTTGGGAGGGGAGTTCGTGGGGGTTGTGAGGGGTGCTCAGAGAGAGGGCTCTGGGTCAGGACTGTCCCCTTTAAAGCTGCCGGACCTCAGGCCTTCTCTTTGGGCCCACCTCTCTTTGTGGGGGTGTGGAAGGACGGGCTAAGTCACAGCTCCTCACTCTTGAGCATGTCAGGTCTGCCTAAATCTCATCAGTAAGACAGGGAGGAACCCTGGGGTAGCTAAGTCACCTTTCCTGTGACCCTTTCCCTCGGCGGCCATGTGCTACTCTAGCACCCGCGTAGTCACCAAGGGTCTACTGAGCACCTGCTGTGCACCAGGCACTGGGAGGACATAAAGCAGGGAACGGGTGCCTTCCCGGAGGCGACGCCTGGTGTGTTGGCCTGCTTCATGGGCAGAGTCAAGCCCCTTTCTCCAAGATGTCCTCATCCCTGGAGCCTGTGAATGTACTAGGTTACATGGCCAAGGGGAATAAAGGCTGCTGAGCAGCTGACCTTGACCTGGGGGAGCACAACCCTGGATTACCCAGCTGATGACATTGTGACCCAATGTCATCACAAGGGGCCTTATCAGTGCATGAGGGAAGCAGGGGTGTTGCAGGCAGAGGGATGCAGCATGGGAAAGATGGCCTGGGACTTACCGTTGCTGACTTTGAAGATGGAGGATGGAGTCATGAGCCCTGGAATGCAGGTGGCCTTGAGAAGCTGGAGAAATGGATTTTCCCTGTGAGCCTCTAGAAGGAACATGGCCACCTTGATTTTAGCCTGCTGAGCCCCACTGCAGGCTTCAGCCCTCCAGAACTGCAAGGTCACGCATGGGTGTTATTTCCAGTTCCCAAGTTCCTAGCGATTTGTTACAGCAGCAACAGGAAGGGGAAACACAAACTGTGTAACATCCATGCCCCGGGGTTATAAATGCTGCAGGGTAAAAGAAAGCCAGATGGAGGTTAGGGAGTGTGGGGATGTTTGCAATTTTAACAGAGTGAACAGGTAGGGAGGGCCTCACCGAGAAGGTGGCATTCAAGTAGAGGCCTAAATAGCCCTCTGCCTAATGAGTGAAGTGAGCCAGGCAGAGGGAACAGCATGTGCAAAGGCCCTGAGGTAGGAGTCGAGCTGCTGTGTTCAGGGCACAGCAGGCACCATTGTGGCTGGGCAGACAGAGTAAGGGGAAGGGAGGGAGGAGTGATGGGCATAGGTTTCGGGGGTGTGGGTCAGATGGCATATAGAGGGTGTTGGATAGATGCATTCCAAGGTTTCAAGAACCACGCAGGGCCAGAGCTTCCAGCCTCAATGGCAGAGCATGTTTCTCCAGAAGCAGGGCTTGAACTGGCCTGTTCCCAGGGCTGCTGAAGGGGTTTGCACATCCCTGAAGCAAGGAAAGGGTGTGCCCACCCCCTCCCTGACTCCAGCTCTTACCTCCTAGTCCAGCCCATTGTTTGGCATGTTCTCTCGATCCCAGTGCCTGATACTGCCTGGTCCAGGCAGGAGGCAAAGGCTGTAGTGCGCCCAGAGATAGTGTGACCTTCCTCTCACCCTGGAACTGCCAGGCCTGGAGGAGAAGGCGGCATTGCCTCCCTCGGGATCAGGGCCCAGCTATTGCCCTGAGCTTGGGCAACAGGGCGGCAGCTGAAGTACAAAGATTATTGTTTCCTCTCTATTTCCTGAGCTCTGTGACTGGGGGGCTGGTGGCCTCTCTGGGCTTCGATCTCATCTGTGCCACGAGCAGTTAGATGAGTCATGAGTTGCAAAGAAAGAGCCTGCAGCCACATCCTGTCCACAGATGTGCTTAAGTGTTTTAAATTAGTTGCCAATACTTACAAATCAGGAAACTTGTAAATCTCTAGACTTCTGGCTCTTCTTGAGAAATCAGAAGATCTGGCAGTGCTGGTGGGTGGAGCTGAGTAGCAGCTGCCTCAGTCCCCGCCCAGCTCCCTTGGCCGTTTCATGACTCCTGCCTGGCTCTTGGAGTCTTTGAGTTTGCAACCCTGGCCTCTAAAGGCCCTTCCAGCTCGGATTTCACTAACTCATGCAATAGAAATCCTTTGAGTGTTTAATACGTGTAGGACTCAGAGACAAGTCTATTTTACAGATGATGGGAGGGAGGCTCAGACGGGGGCTGTGACCTGCCAGAGTCACACGGTTATCGGCGGGGTTGCATCTGAGCCACACTGACAATAGACAACTGATCCAAAAGCGCTTTGGCCAAAATTAATTGAATACTGACTGTGTCCAGCGGCAGACCACAGCCCCTAACAAGACAGACAAGAGCCTGCCTTCCCTGGGCTGATACTGCAGCCCCTGGAGCTGAGTGATCAACAGATAAATATGCAATGACACTGGGGCTAGCTGGGAAGGTACAGATACAACCTAGGGTGGCCACAGGGAAAGAGGAGACAACGCTACAGCGGTTTCCTGAGGAATGAGAGTCTGAAGCCAGAGCCGGCGTGGACTCCCTTCCTCCTCTGGTGCCCAGCGTGGACCCTTGGCAAGGACCAGGAGATTGGGAGGGGAATCCCTCCCTCCTTGTGGCTGATTTTCACTAAGACGGTGGTGACACGTGGCTCAAGAGCCAGGCTGCCTGCCAGGGTGTCTGCTGCTCACCCACCATCCCACCTCAGATGGGAACTCAATCTCTCTGGGCCTCAGTCTCCAAATCTGTAAAATGGAGTCGATTTCAGTGTCTAGCTCACAGAGGTATTGGTGGCAGGATGATGTGAATTGTGAATTCTAGTCAGTGAGTGTCACCTGGGTCGTAGCTGGAGGTCTCTCTACAGTGGACTGTGATCTACAGTGAGCCGTGATCCCTGAGGACTGGGGAGAGGCTCCGAAGGGCAGAGTGCATCCATCCCATCGGGAGATGTAGGGCACATGATAGGTAGGTAAAAAAGCGGCGTGTGCTGTGTGGTCAGATCGCATGGATGACGGTGGGCTTTGAACCAACTGCTGACTCTACCCTGCAGGAGTTCTTCACCTGGGTGGAGGCTGGGATTGGCTCTTCTATCCTTTGGCTGAACCTAGCCAGCCTGGGAGCACCCGGACCAGGGTTTGAGGAGGAGGAAGAAATGTGGAACGGAGGAAGGGAGGGAAGACGGTTGTGCCTGGAAGCCCAGAACCCAGTCTCCTGGCAGGGAGGAGCTGGGGTTCATGATCACTTCTAGGCAAACAGCAATGTCTTCCCAATACACTGCAGGCTCACCGCTGCCATTCTCTGTGTGTCTGACAGAGACAGAGAGGCACAGACCCCTCTCCTTCCACCTCATCACACACACACACACACACACACACACACACACACACACCCCACCCACAGGATCTCACTTAGAAGACACATCTTCACCTCTGACCCCCTTTTAATGTCCCAGGAGTCCAGCTCAGCCTGCTGGTTCAATGCAGGAAGAAAAACCACAGGTTTCCATTTTGTCCACGTGGAGAAGGGGCTGGGGCCTCAGCAGAGAGATGCTGCCGAAGCCCCGACCCTCACCCGACCACCTTTTGCTCCCTGCCATCCCTGGCTCTCCCAGGAGAGGAATTTTCCCAGATCAAAAGTGGATGGAAGCAGGAATGAGTCAGGCTGGAGGCTGAGAGAGGCCTATATGGTCCCCTCTGTCCCTCACCTGAACCTTGCAGGCATGTAGTGAGCCTTCGATAAATGTTGCATGGATGGATGGATGGACTGATGGATGAATGGGGGTAGTGGGAGAATAGATGAATGGGTGAGTGAATGAGTAGATGGGTGAGAGGGTGGATGAATAGATGGATGGATGGAAGAATAGGCGAAATGACTGGGTAAATGAGTAGATGGGTGAGTGGATGGTTGGATGAATGGATGGTGGGTGAGTGGATGAATGGGCGGATGGGAGAACAGATGATTGAGTGAGTGGATGTGTGAGTGGATTGATGGATGGGTGAATAGGTGGCTGAATGAGTGGATGGATGGTTAGGTGAGTGGATAGATGGGTGGATGGAAGAAAGTGAAATGGGTGGGTAAATGAGGTGGAAGTGTGGGTGGGTGGATGGGTGGGTGGATGGATGGCGGGAAGGTGGGTGGATGGTTGAATGAGAGAAAGGATGAATGAGTAAATGAATGGATGGGTGAGTGGATTGATGGATGGATGGGTGGGTGGGCGGGTGAGTGGATAGATGGATGATTAGAACTGAATCCTGAGAATACTGGACTTGGAGGAAAATTACTGGGTCATTAGGATTCTGACCACAGATTTAGCCAGGCAAACTTCACCTCCTCTCCTCCTGGTTCCCTGAAGCCCAAGGATCTCTAGGGAGAGAAATCTCCTCAGAGCAGAAGGAGTGAAATACAAGGTGCAAAGAGAGCAGGTAAGGGATGAGAGGACCTGTGGGACCATGGGTCTGGATGAACAGGAACCCCATCCTCTATGGGGTTTGTACATCTGGCCATGTGCAGCCCTGTAGTCAGGCAACCTGGGTTCGAATCCCAGCTCCATTACCTCCTTGCTGTGTGAGCTTGGGCAATTTACTTCACCTCTCTGGGCCTCTGCTTTTTCATTGGCCAAATAGGATGATAATAGTACACCCATGAGATAAAGGTTGTTATGAAGACTCTCTGGGATGACGTGAGGCACTTTGCACGGCATGACCTGCTGTTAGTCTCAAACAGTGACGATTATTTCATGCTTATCATTGTTCCATGGGTTTCTATAAATGAGCTCATCTGATCTCTTAATCTGTGAGCTGTGGGCTAGTATTTTTTCCATTCTACAGATCAGGGCTGGAGAGGAGCCCTTGGGCGGCTCAGCTGGAAGGAAATCTCTCCAGACAGCTGCTGCTGGCAGGAAGGGAGGTTGGATCTGGGGCCATCCACAGGGTCTGCTGCAAGTAGATGTTGGGATGGATTGTAGAAAGAGCATTGAGAAAGCCTCGGGTTGGGGTTAGCTTGTCTTGAACACCTCTCTGACACCTGCAAATCTCCTTTCTAAGAAAGACACAACAGCCCCAGGCTTAAAAAATTTTTTTTTAGAATCTACAGTAGCAATTGCGTCCTGTAAGAATTTGATAACTTTTTTATGTCTTCATGGCATTTATTTGTATAGATTTTTTTTTCTATTTATAGCAAGTATGTGCTGATACTGGCTTTCCGTTTCTGGTGATATTGTCAAGATTCCTTGAATAAGTTTAATGCTAAGTTGTAATAGAACAGAGGGTATACAGATGTGGCAAAAACCAAACTGAACACACAGAACCCCCAGAGATAATGGAGAGTTTATTTAGCACATGCAGGTAGTCACCCAAATCACACTGGCTCTCGTTCATTCATTCATTTACATGTTTGTTCAACAAAAATTTATAGAGCACCTACTATGTGTTTGTACACAGAGAACAAAGTAAGGTCCTCTTCTTATGGAGCTGACGAAATGAAATCATTTCATCGAGTCACAAGTACAGTGAAGGAAACTGTTAGTCCATTCTCGCACTGCTATAAAGAAATACCTGAGTCTGGGTGATTTATAAAGAGAAGAGGGGTAACTGGCTCATGGCTCTGCTGGCTCTACAGGAAGCATGGTGGCACCTGCTTCTGGGGAGGTCTCGGGGAGCTTTTACTCATGGCAGAAGGGGGAAGGGGAAGCAGGCATCTTCCCGTGGCTGGTGCGGGAGGCAGAAGAGCAGGGAGGTGCCACACACTTTTAAACAGCCAGATCTCATGAGAACTTGCTATCTCGATGACAGCTCTAAGGGGGATGTTGTTACATCGTGAGAAACCACCCTTGTAATCCAATCATCTCTCACCAAGCCCCCCTCTAACATTGGGGATTACAACTGAACAGGAGATTTGGGCAGGGACACAGATCCAGACTGTCACAGAAACACACATATGAGAGAGGCACGTAAGGAGATTTGGAGAAAAGGCCTCCTTTGTCTGGGTGATCAGGATGTGCTCTCTGTGGAGGCGACATTTGAGTTGGGACCTGGCTGATAAAAAGTTGGCTGTGGGGAGGCCCTGGGGAAAGCCTGCTGCCATTAGGAACAGCAAGTGCAAAGGCCCAGTGGCAGGACCAGCCTAAACGCTGGAGGAGCAGAAAGAAAGTCAGTGTGGCTGGAGTCGAGTGAGTTGGGGGAGGGTGGGAGGAGAAAAAGTCAGAAAGGGAGCAGGGACTGGAAACCCAGGGCCTTGAGAAACATGGGGATTACTTTTTTACATGTTAGACGTGACTATTATCTTTTACCAATGGCCGGAGGAACCCACACAGGTGGAGAGAGGGTGCCTCTGGAGCACACCACGAGCTCTTGGGATGGGGGTGCAGCTCCATGCAAGTGCGGCTCAGGAGTTTATCGTCCTAAGCGAGGGCATTTGGAGAAGGAATAGCTGGGGGTGAGGCCAGCTGCTGTCCAGGAGCCAGGGTTTGGCCCTTGAAATATCTCCTTGTTGCAGGGAGCCAGGCTGGGACCGGCTCAGCCCACCCATCTTTTTTTTTTTTTTGAGACGGAGTTTCGCTCTTGTTACCTAGGCTGGAGTGCAATGGCGCGATCTCGGCTCACCGCAACCTCCGCCTTCTGGGTTCAAGCAATTCTCCTGCCTCAGCCTCCCGAGTAGCTGAGATTACAGGCGTGCGCCACCACGCCCAGCTAATTTTTTGTATTTTTAGTAGAGACGGGGTTTCACCATGTTGACCAGGATGGTCTCGATCTCTTGACCTCGTGATCCACCCGCCCTTCAGCCTCCCAAAGTGCTGGGATTACAGGCGTGAGCCACCGCACCTGGCCAGCCCACCCATCTTAAAATTTTTTTTTTCTTTTAGACAAGGTCTCTGTCTCCCAGGCTGGAGTGCAGTGGCACCATCATGGCTCACTGCAGCCTCCACCTCCTGGGCTCAAGTGATCCTCCCACCTCAGCCATGTCCCTGGGACTCCAGATGTGCACCACCACATCTGGCTGTTTTTTTAAAAAAAATTTTGTAGAGAGGGGTCTTTCTATGTTGCCCAGGCTGGTCTCAAACTCCTAGGCTCAAGTACTAAGAAAAATTTAAAGCATCCAAATAACTCATGGAGATATTATTTTATTTTTTTTGAAGGGAGGAAGAGGGGAGGGAGGGAAGAAGGACGGTAGGGAGGAAGGAAGGGATGAAGGAAGGAAGGAAGGAAGGGAGGAAGCGGGGAGGGAGGGAAGAAGGACGGTAGGGAGGAAGGAAGGGATGAAGGAAGGAAGGAAGGAAGGGAGGGAGGAAGCGGGGAGGGAGGGAGGGAGGGAGGGAAGGGAAGGAAGGAAATCAAGCAATGAGAGAGACATTGCTGACCTGGATCTAGAGGTTTACAAGTTGATTTCTTTTTTTTTGAGAGAAGGAAAGAAAAAAAAAATAAGTAAAGGAGAGGAAGAAAGAGGAAGAGAAAGAGGGAGAGTAAATGGAAATATTGCTTTATTTTGAAAAAAAAAATGAGTATTAATAATGGCCAATCAATGTTTCATTTAAACTTATGGGTAGGTGTGATGTGGTATTGACAAGAATGTATATTTTGTGTATTTGAAGTGGAGAGCTCTATGAATATTATTAAGTTTACTTGTTCCGGATCTGAGTTCGAGTCCTTGATATCCTTATTAATTTTCTGTCTCATTGAATCTAAGTCTCGTATCTGGGTGTTAGGATCGTTAGCTCTTGTTGTTGCATTGATCCTTTTACCACTATATCTTTGTTGCTTTAAAATCTATTTTATCCGACACGAGAATTGCAACTCCTGCTTTTTATTTATTTATTATTTATTTTTGCTCTCCATTTGGTTGGTAAATCTTTCTCCATCCCTTTGTTTTGAGTCTTTGTGTATCCTTGCATGTGAAACAGGTCTGGATGTAAAATGCCATTGGGTTTTGGCTGTGTCTTTTGATTGGGGGATTTAGTCAATTTAAATTTA